TCTTTTGTCTGTAACTCACTATTATTTGTCTATTTGTTTTCCTGAGAAACTATCTTGTAGATAACAATATGTAAAACAATAACCATTGATAATTTCCTACCACTTTGTCTGTAATTTGGTAAGCCCCCCCTATTATTATGTTATCCTTCTTTTACCCTTTAAAATTTTAAAAAAAAAGATGTAACTGAGGTAAAGATCTCAAAATGAGATCATCTGGGAATTAGGATAGACCCTAAATCCAGTGACAAGTGACCTCAGACAGAGAAGAAGATGCAGAGAGAAGGCCATGTGAAGATAGGGGCAGAGGGGTTAGGCATGTGAAGTGTCCACAAGCCAAGGGATGCAGGCCACACCAGACAGTGGGGACATAGTACAGTTTCACCCTCAGAGCCCCCAGGAAGAGCTCTTGGCCTCCTGGGCTCAGGGGCAAATGGCTGTGGCTCTTTGCTGTGGCTGGGAGCTGGGAGGCTCATCCTGCTCCTGGGGAAGCCCTGTCTAGGGCCCCTAGGTCCCTGCACTCCTTCCCCACCGGCTGTGGTTCTGTCTAGCTCTGCTCGTTGCCACCCCACAGTCTGGTCCAGGCTCATGTTGCCTTGTATGCTTGGAAGGTCCCAGCTCATGCACTGCAGCTCAGAATCTGCACACTTTGAGAAGCAGCCCCAGCCTTCTCGTCTCTGCGGTGTCCCCACAGCACCCCAGAGGCATTTATAATGAAAAGCCAGATGTTACATCCACCTCACGCAGGGGGCTGTGAGGGCATGGTCCTTTCAGGTCACTATACCGCCAGTTTCTGTTGCCCTGGCTCCTGGCAGAGGCTGGTATGTGACAGGTGCTGAATAAGTGCTTCCTGAGGTAGACTCTCAGGGGGTGCCTCCAGCCTGGACACACAGGAGTGGCCTTGCTTAGCAGAATGACCCAGAGACTCGGTGGGTGTGAGGGGTGTGCTCCCCACTGCAGCCGCCCAGCCCAGCCACATGCATGAGAGGGTGAAGGTGGTGAGCACCCTGCTACAAGAAGTGTGCAATCCGGGCTGGGGCTTTCCTTTCACAGCCCATCAAGGGTGACAAGCTCTGGGAGGAGTGACAGCTGCCTCTGCTGTTCCAGGGTGGGTAAATGACACCCCAGGAGGCAGCCCCATGGTGAGGGGCCCTGCCAGTGGTGACGGGGCTCTCAGTGTCTCACGTTGGGACAGGCCTGGCTGCTTCTCATGCCAACAGTCACCTGCCCCTGTCAGCACCTCCGAAGGTAAGAGGAGCACCTCACTCCCACCCCACAGCATGGCCACTAGGGCTGGGCACAGGCAGACAGGGCTGTAATCAACCACCTGCCCTCAGCTGCAGCCTGCACCCTATCCCTCCCTGTCCACTCTGGGGCAGCCCCTGTTTCAGGCCTCAGCTGTGGAAGTCATGCAGGGGCAGGCTGGGGTGGGCTCACTGTTCGAGATGCAGCCGGCAATCTCCGAAGGCCCTGGGTTAGAGGACCAACCGACATAGGTCGATGCAGATGGCCCCCTAGAGTCTCACCGAGGGAGGCTTCAGACTGGATAAGGCAGAGGTGGGGCCAGGCCCTATGACCTATTCTGAGGGGGAGACCAAGGTGGATGGGTCCCAGTGTCAGGAACAAAACAGCCTCATCCCTGAGCCCTGGGGCAAATTGAGGTGTCCTGGACACCTGACCCCACAGAGCCTTATGACCCCCTGGCTCCTGGCCCTGCAGCTCCTGGCCCCTCTACCCTGCCCAGGCCCCTGTGCAGAATCGACCCCACCTTCCACACAGCCTGTAGCTTTAAGCTGCCTGCTGGGGCTGTCCCTGCAAACTGCTTGTTCCACATTCTCGGGGTGGTGGGGAGGGTGGGGTCCTGGCACGCCCTCAGGAGGGTGGCTATAAGGCTCAGGAGCGGGGAGCTGGGGCCTCACTGTTGCTGTATGGCCCTGCTGTTGCTCCTGGGACTGCTGGGGCTGCTGGGGCTCCTGGGCCTCTGGGGGCTGCTCTGCACCCCAGCCCCGGGCCCCTCTCCAGCCCCACAGTGGCCCCCCGGGCCTCGCCCGCTGCCGCTCCTGGGAAACCTGCCCTTGCTTCGAGCTTCACAACAGGACCAATGGCTGTTGGAGGTAGGGGCAGCCCCTCCATGCAGCCCCCACAGCCTCTGTGGTTGTGTTCCAGCCTGTGTCTGGGGAGGCCAAGCCCCGTTTCTACATCCAGCTCTGCGCAGTGCTGGCTCACTTGGGGACACAAGACGCCAGAGTGTCACCCTGCCCTCGGGAGAAGACAGACCCACCCAACAGGGAGGCCACCCGGGAAATGCTGCCCAGAGTTGATTAGAGGGCCTGGAAGGCTTCCTGGAGGAGGCAGCATTTGAAGATGGTCTGCAGGAGGCAGGTTTGGGAGCAGCATAGGGAGGAAGCAGGTGCCCCTGGAAGTGTCTGCAATTGGAGAGGACCCCCAAGGGTCAGAGGTGTCCTCAGGCAAGTGGGATGCCCAAGGGGGTGGCTACTTCTGCCACTGGAAACAGAAAGTCCTCAGCCCACTGAGGGGAGTGCTGGCCCTGTGAGGCCAGACCAGCCCTATCTCTCCACATGTGCCCCAGGACTGTGGCCAGAGACCAGCCAGTGGTGCCCCCCCCCTTGCCCCACGCAGCTCCTCGGATGCCCCCACCCAAAGGGCTCCTACTTTCAGCGCCGCCAGTGTGGCTGCCTGGTGCCCCTTCCTAGGATGAGATGCACTGGGCTCCCCAGGGCTGGGCCCCAGGCTCAGTGCTGGGCCGGGGGTGACTCAGCTGGGGCTCAGTAGTCTGAGAGCAATTCACTTCCTGCTAAGGATCTGAATTCCTACCCTTAGGATGGGAGGTGACACCCTCAGGGCAGGGAGACGCAGCCCTGAGGCACGACTGACCCTCAGAACTGCCTCTGTCCACCTGTCCTTTGTTGTGGGTTGCGGGAGCCACTGGCCAAGCTAAGGCCCAGGGAAGGCCGGAGCCCTGGGCTGCCTGAGCCTGTCACTCCTATCTGGTCCTAGGGGCCCAAGCATCCCTGGGAATTACTGCTGAGACCAACCCATGACGGTGGTGCAGGCACAGGATGGTGCCCCCTATGGGAGGAGAGTGGGGGTGGCTCCATGGGCCCCTGGAGTGGGGTTCCCCCCATGCTGTCCCCCCCACCCCACTGTTCTGCCAGCTCTCAGAACGCTATGGGCCAATGTTCACGGTTCACCTGGGAAGCCAGAAGACTGTAGTGCTGTCAGGATACGAGGCCGTGAGGGAGGCCCTGGTGGGCACTGGGCAGGAGCTGGCTGACCGTCCCCCCATCCCCATCTTTCAGCTCATCCAGCAAGGCGGTGGTAGGTGTAGAGGGCTCCTGGGCAGCCCTTGGGAGGGACAGGAGGGTGCTGGGTGTGTGTACGGGGCCCGGCTGCTCCCTACTGAATCTCTGGGATGGGGCAGGTTCGTCCAAGTCTCTGCAACCTCTGCTGCAGGCATCTTCTTCTCCTCCGGGGCACGCTGGCGGGCTGCCCGCAGGTTCACGGTGCGCGTGCTGCACAGCCTGGGTGTGGGGCAGGGCCCAGTGGCTGGCAAAGTGCTGCAGGAGTTGGCGAGTCTCACAGGGAAGCTGGATGGCTTCAGAGGTGAGTTGGGGCTGGACACCCCTGCCTGGGGCCTCCACTTTGAACTGTTTCCTCAAAGCTGGCCCTTCCTGATGGCCCTAAAGGTGCCCCACCTGCCTGAGTCCTGTCTCCCCACAGGCCGGCCCTTCCCCCTGGCCCTGCTGGGCTGGGCTCCCTCTAACATCACGTTCACGCTCCTCTTCGGCCAGCGTTTCGACTACCAGGACCCTGTGTTCCAGTCCCTGCTAGGTCTGATTGATGAGGTCATGGTCCTCTTAGGGTCACCCAGCCTGCAGGTAAGAGGTTGCTGCCCTGCTGGGAGCTGAGGCTCAGAGTCCCTGGCCTCAGGCAGCATCCATGTGGCCCCGGCTGGTGTATGCTCTGAGAAATGGGGTCCAAGCCAGGGGTCTCTATCTTCCCTCTAGGCCCCCGTCAGCAACAGATGCACTTGCTCAAAAATGGGGGCAGGGCCAGGTTTTCCTGCCCAGGACTGTGGCCCTGGGGTCCCCAGACCGCTCCCGCCAGGCTGTCATGGGTCTGTTACCACACCACAGAAGCTCTTAGATCGTCCCTTCCAATGTCCAGGAGCCCCTAGGTTTACATTCCATTCTTCGCCAAAGTTTGAGGACTTTGTACTTCTGGTCACTGCCATTTCTAACTGCCTTTACGGAGCCCTACATGCTAGTGTGCTGTCCCCGGAAGTGACAGCCGGGCTCAGTCGGTCATCCCTTGTCACCACTGTCCCGGGCACAAAGCTCTGTGAGGAGAGGCAGGCATGGTGTGGTTTGGGCAGCAGTGAGGGGGAGGCTTTGGGCTTCCCACCTTGGATTCACTGCCCTCAGCGTGGGCCCTGCTCCTCGTGGGTGTAGGGCTGGCCACCTGCCCCTGGAGCCGCGTACGTGGCTCAGTGTAGCCCTGCCAGGCAGCCCATGCAACAGGTGGTCCTTGGTCTTCCCTGACTGTGTCAGCTCCACACCTTGGGGTGGAGCCTATGTGGCATTTTCCACCTGTGGGTGTCGATGCCCTGGGGAGGCAAGCGTCCTGCATCTCTGAGCCCATCTGCTGTGAGCCCACGGCTGAGGGCTGGGCTGAGGCTATGGATCTTCTCTGCAACTCAGGCCCATGGGGTCACTTCCATGTGGCACCTGTTTCTCTGCCATCCTCCTTGCTCTGGGAGGGCGCTTAGTTTGGGCAGCCTGTCTGGACCTGCACACAGCCATCCGTGTGTGCTACCATCCAATGGCTCTTTTCCGCACGCGACGGAGGCTTCTAAGTCCCCAGAAAGGCAGTGAGCGCCCTCTTGTGGCCATGGGCCTCACATGCTCTGGCACAGCTGTCGAGCCAGGCAGACTGCTTCAACCAAGCACTTCATCAACCTGTCCTCTGCTCCAAGCTGTTTAACATCTATCCACGGCTGGGGATCTTTCTTGGTCTGCACCGGCCTGTCCTGCGCAAGATCGAAAAGGTACGAGCCATCCTGAAGACAATCCTGGAGGTGCGGCAGCGCACCACACCCAGGGGTGGCCCCATACAGAGCTATGTGGATGCCCTGATCCAGCAGGGTCAGGTGCAGGTGAGACGGGGCTCCTTCTCAGGGGCTGGGGCTGGGAGGGACCGCCATGGTCCCCCATGGCGCTCCATGTAGGGAGCGCCGTGTTCCCATCTGGGGTCTCCCCGAGCTGTGGTCTCGTGTCTGTGAAGTGGGAGGCCAGATGCTGTGTCCGTGTGTTCCTGCCCAGTCTACCTTCTTCTGTCCCAGGCCCAGGGTCAGACTGAATGCATGGGTTGGAAAAAGGGCCCCAGACCTCCCCACTGAGCCCCATCGCCTGTTTCACAGGGGGATGATCACCTGGGCCTGTTCACCGAGGCCAATGTTGTGGCCTGCACGCTGGACATGCTGATGGCCGGCACCGAGACCACCTCGGCCACGCTGCAGTGGGCGGCCCTCCTAATGGCCAAGCACCCGGACATTCAAGGTGAGGCCCAGCACAGTTGGGTGGGAGCCCAGGGCGAAGGGATGGTTCCTACTAGCACGGTACCCACCTCTGGCACAGGTCGCGTGCAGGAGGAGCTAGACCGCGTGCTGGGTGCTGGGAGGCTCCCGAAACCTGAGGACCAGCAGCAGCTGCCCTATACCAGCGCGGTGCTGCACGAGGTCCAGCGCTACATCACGCTGCTGCCCCATGTGCCCCGCTGCACGGCCACTGACACCCAGCTGGGTGGCTACCTGCTCCCCAAGGTGGGCCCACCGGCCTCTCTCCTTCCATGGGGAACAAGTGGGACCCAGACAAGGGGAGAGACCTGAGGGTCTCAGGCTCACTGGGAGGAGGCAGGAAAAGGGGTTATTGGTCACGAAATTGTCTTCCTGCTGGGGTGTCAGAGCTAGATCAGAGTATCTCGCTCTGTCCTGGGGGGGTCCTTCCCTGGGTGTCCCAAGGGTCTTTCCCTTGTGTCCTGGGGTCCCTCCTGGGTTCCAGAGGCTTCCCTGAGCAGTGATACCTCTGTGCCCATAGGGCACGCCTGTGATCCCCTTGCTGACCTCGGTACTGCTGGACAAGACCCAGTGGGCGACCCCCAGGCAGTTCAACCCAGAGCACTTCCTGGACTCGGACAGGCACTTCTTGAAGCGGCCAGCCTTCCTGCCTTTCTCTGCAGGTACCATGGCCCTGGTGGGTCAGAGGCCACAGCAACCCCAGTCACTCCTACCCTGCAGGGCATCCCTTCCCCGCTCCAGGAGAGGCCTAGGCCCCACACGGTGCTTCGGTTTCCCACAGGCCGCCGTGTCTGCGTTGGAGAGAGCCTGGCCAGGACCGAGCTTTTCCTGCTGCTGGCTGGCTTGCTCCAGCGTTACCACCTGCAGCCCCCACCTGGCATCAGCCCTGCTGCCCTGGACACCATGCCTGCCCTGGCCTTCACCATGAGGCCCCAGGCCCAGGCCCTGTGTGCAGTGCCCCGGCACTAGGGCGCTCCACTAGGTGACTCCCTCCCAACCACGTTGGGGTGCCTGGTAGTTGGCAGGGCACGGCGGCGTCTCTGAGGATGGATGGCAGGGGGACTCACACCGCCCACAGTCACAAAGGGTCAGGCATTCAGCTTTTGGCTTCTGTGTGCAGATTGCATCCACCATGGGTGGGAAATCGGACTCTTGCTTGGGTGCCGCAGAGGGGGAACATGACCCCTATGGCCCCCATCTATCTCTCCCAAGGCCCCAGGCTCCTGCATCCCCAGTACCACACTCTCCTCTACTCTGGCCCCCTGGCCAGCCAGGCCCCCCAGTACAGACTGGACATGTCCCTAAGCCGACTCAGACCCCAGGAGGCCTCATGTTGCCCCACATCTCCCTGAGCCCCACATCTCCCTGAGCCCCACATCACACCCCAGCCAGGGGCAGTGTCTGTCAGATGCCCCCATACCTACAGTGGGTGGTGTCTGTGCCCAGGGGCACCGTGGACTATAAATCAGCCTTGGCTGGTGTTGCCAGCGTCACCCTGCACCAACCAGACCTGGCTGGTTCTCCTGCATGTGCCCTGTTCTGGAGGTCCTGTGGGGCAGTGGCTGGAGGCCTCTGCTGTATTACCAAAAGGTGCCCTTGGTTCTTCCAGCTAGTGTGCTCCCTAAGATGCAAGATGCTCCCCAGCTGCAGCTGGAGGGTCCTGGTCTACTCCAAGGTGCTGGGGACCAGAAGCCTGGGCCTCAGTTTACCCATGTATGAAATGGATCAAACAGCTGGAGGACCAATAAACTTTGTTGGGAGGTGCAGGATTAAGGTAACCCAGGGCTGAGATACCAGAATCCCAGGGCCAGCAGGGCCCTAAGGAGGGGTGCCCACAGGAAGGGTGCTGGTGCTGAGGACAGGGAGGTCCTGGGGCCTTGGGGGGCACATCAGGGGACAGAGCAGCTGCTGGCAAGTTCTTCAGGCCCCATCACACTCATGCCCCTGGGAAGTCAAAGACCCCTATTCAGGGCAGCCACCACCGGAAGGACTGGCTGCTCATGGAGCCTGGTGCAGATGGGAAACTGAGGCGCCCAAATGCACAAAGCCCAGCAAAGGTTCCACTCTCCCCACTGCTATGACACGTTGAAACCTTGAGGGCAGGACCTGGGGCCAGGTGGCACCCACTGCCCACTGGGCTCCACAGCCTCCCGTGCGGGCTGGGCTGAACACCTTGGCGGCTGTGCTTGGTTCCCAGCCCATCCTGTGAGGTTGTTTGCCGACCTCTGTCCCCACTGTGGTGGAGGCACACAGCTACCTGGCCCCCACAGCTCCGAGACTGCTCTGGGATGGGCTCCTCCAGTGTGGACCCCTGCAGGACACGCGCACACAAGGTTATCTGTCTGGGCATCAGACTTTAGTGGGGGTTCAGTGTGGTACCGGGCACTAGTTTACACCAGCCTTTTTGAGAGCCTGGTGAGCTGGAGTTGGGGGCACCCTAGGCAGGCATGTCAAAGGGAATGGGAGCTGGGTGTAGTGGCACACACTTGTGATCCCAGCACTCTATGAGGATGAGGCAGGAGGACTGCAAGTTCAAGCCCATCCTGGGTAACAGTGAGACTAATGTCTCAAAATAAAAAATTAGAAAAGCCTGAGGGTGTAGCTCAGCATGAAGGCCCTGGGCTCAATCACCAGTCATGTAAAATATAAGCAGGAACGAGGAACGAGGCAGGCAGCCACTCCAGGAGCAGAAATGTGAGGGAGTGGACCCAGAACAAGCTCCGAGCCACCATCACCTGCTGTGAGGAGGGAGCCCACAGTGATTCCTCTGGGACAGCCAGGCCTGTGGGGGTGCTGAGTAGGAGCTGGACCATGCTCCTTAGCATCCTCCCAGCGGCAGTGGAGGTCTGCAGTGCCCCACTTGGAAGCTCCTACGCTGTCTACTGTGTGCCCTGAGAACGTGCCTGACTTCTGAGCAGTGCTATCTAGTGGTCCAAAGCATACACAAGCCTGATGAAGACACACAGGAAGAAACATGGTGCTACTGTTGCCTTCTCTGGCACTAACCACAAATGTGGGTTTCATCCTTCACCCGGGTCTGTGACCTCTGACCTGAAACTGTCTCTGTGACTTCTGTCTTGAGGGTATACTGGTGACCTCCACCCCGTGGGGGTGCCTGTGACCTTGCACTGTGGTGGTGGGGTGCCTGTGGTCTGTCCTGCAGGAGTGTCCTTCCTTGGAAGGCCCCCCGCGGAAGAGGAGCTTCTGAAAATCAACTTTGTTGAGGAATTATTAACATACATGAAGTGTGTGGTCTGGTGGGTTCTGCAATCTGCAAACACTTATGTTGGGGCCACCTAGTTGGGGTTGGGTGTCCCACCCTGAGCCCTGCCTGCCCCTCCAACCAGCCCAGGTGTCTTGTCCCTGTCACTGTTGGTCAACTTGCAGCTTCTAGAATTTCATAGAGTCACAAAGCCTGTCCTTGTCTGTGTGGCTTCTGTCCCTCAGCCTGGTTGGATTTTAGAAAGGTGATGGGTTCTGGAGGGCTATGACTCCAGCATGATGCCATGGTCTTCACTATGGTCCTAAGGTGGTTGGTGGTGGTGTGATCAAGAGCAATGGAGACAGGAGCGTGTGGCACTGGGAGCTGTGTCTGGCCTCCACCTTCCTCTCTGGTGCTCTCCCTTGCTTTCAGTTTCTGCCTGCCACGAGGTAAATGGCTCTGCTTCCCCACACGTTCCCACCACAATGTTCTTCCTCCCCACTGGTCCAGGTGCAACACAGCCTAGTGACCACGGACTGAAACCTCTGAAACCGAAAGCCAGCTAACACATGCACTCCAGTCTGTTTCCCTGTTGATGGACGCTGGGTTGTTTACGGTCGGGGCTGAAAAGGTGAACAGCCATCCTTGGGAGGTGGCACTCACCAGGCCCAGGTCATCCCATGCAAGCCAAGCACCCACAGCTCAATCCTGAGAGCTGACGGCTCCACAGTGGCTTCCCCCTGGGGTGCCCTCGGTGCCACCTCATCTGGCACCAAGGAGACCTCAAGGAGCTTCTTGGTTCCTGAGCTTGGTTGCAGCTGACATCTCTGTACTCCCCCTGCACTCCTGCCAGACTGTACTCTGTGCCCAGTGGGGCAGGGGCCCCGGGAAGGAAAGAGGCTCCTCCAGTGGTGTCAGGGGACCATCTGTGAGGGAAAGTGGCTCAGGTCTCCAACACTGTGTCCACTGAAAGCAAGGTTTCCATCCCCTCTCCCTCTATAACTGGGCTGCAAGGAGACCTAGAGCTACGGCTTCAGACCCATCAACCCTGATTCCTTCCCCACCCTCTTGTGTGGCTTGTAGATCTCCATCACCACCTACCTGTGTCTTGGGGCACTTAGTTTGGGCACAACCCACTGGCACCTGACTGAACTGGACCAGCACCTTCCTTGGCAGTGTTGCTACAGAGCTGTGCAGGTGCCCCTCTGATCCATGTGGGAGGCTCTTTTCCTAGGGCACTAAGGTTCAGGGCTCACCTCCTGTCCCCCAGGGCCACTAAACGCACATTAGCATCTGCACGTGCTACCACGATCCCAGCTGTGCTGTGGGCAGGGGCAGGGCCACATATTGCGAGGAACAGCGGCTTGGCCACAGCAGGGCAGGGTCAGAGGCCCAGGTGGCATAACCCTCAGCTTTCTCCCAGCCCAGAGCCTAGGGTCTGTCCATGAGACAGTGGACAGGTGACAAGAGGAGTAGAACATGCACAGGGCCCCCGGCTTGATGTTTAAGGTGATTAAACCTGAAATCACAGCAGCATCTGGGGTCAGGGTCAGGGCTGATTTGGCCTGGCCAAGATGAGGCCAAAGGTGATTTGCAGATGACGCCTGGCCAAGGTGGTCATGATCATGAGATGTCAAGACCCTTGGCCTGGGACAAAGCCTGTCTTCTGTCCGGGTTGTGATCAGCAACACCACTGCAGTCTTACCCTACCCCACCACCTGGGCAAGGGGAAGGCTGCCCTTCTGGGTCACCCAGCCCAGAGCTGTTGGCTGCCCTCAGAGCCTGAGGTCTCCTGAAGGCACCTTGGCTTCAGCCCCAGCCCTCTTGGCTCGGGCTGGCACATTCCCATCACTGGCAGCTTCCCCTACAGCTACCTAGGCTGGGTCGGCACATCTGTCACTTGGGGGTCAGGGGGTGGGGAACCCGCAGATGCCTTGTCTTGTGCAGTGTGTGCCCTAGCTGGGATGGTCGCTAAATACCTGGAGAAGAGGCTGACAGAAGTGGTCAGTCAGCACTGACCACTGAGATTGTCACATATGGAGCTCTGATGCCAGAGCAGGACACTGTCCTGGGGAGGTTGCTGCACAGGACAGCGTGGGGCCTGGGTGTGCTCATGCCGAGAAGGATGTCAGATCCACATGCAATGAAAGTGTGGACGCACAAAACAAGAACACAGCCAGTAGCTTGTTTTTATTGATTATGTGGCCACGCAGGCATGGGAAGATGGCAGCCCCTGTGGGATTTCCTTGCACTTGTCCCCAACCTGGGGCACACCTTACTCCAACCCGGAGGAGCTGCAGCTGGTACAGGACCAGCACTGGCAAGTTGCTAAAACATCCCTGGTAGAAAAATAGACATCTGTGTGACAGCAACTTCGTGGTGCAGGGTGAGTCTGGTGATCCCTCTGAAGGCATAAAGACCCCTCGTCACGAAGGGGAGACCATAGCCCAAACTGTTCCTGTTGAACCCTGCACATCTGAGGGCCCACAATGCCAGGTGCAAGTGTCCCCCACACTCCTTGCTAGGACAGCAGCTGCAGCACCTGGCGCAGGCGTGAGGCCTTCTCCTGCAGGGCAGCATCTGACCCCACCATGTCTAGCTCCTGCATCAGGGCTTCTGCCTTCTTCAGGGTCAGCTCACGGGCCTTGCCCTGCAGCCCCTCCAGGTAGGCCAGCAGGGTGGGGAAGTGCTCTTCCGGGACCTGGCAGGGGAAGGAGCGGAGTGTCAAGGCAAGGATGGCTGTGACAATAGGGGCCCTAGCAGTGGAGGGACAAGGTGCCCAGTCTGGCACCTTAGGTTTTACCCTCTTTTATGATTTATGCCTGGATGTCCCCCTAAAGACCCACGGCCTCAGAGGTGAGGCTTTTGCAAGGTGATTCAATTATAGCGGTTTACAATGGACTTGCTGTGAAGAGGTGGGGTCTGGCTGTAAGGAGGGGGTCACTGCAGGTGGCCAGGAAGGGTTTGTATCTCCCTCCCCAGCTTCTTTCATCTCACTGCTTCCCTGCACCAGCCATGAGCAGCTTCTCCTCTGCCAGGTCTCCCTGCCATGTAGTCCCACCCTGGAAGTATGGACTGAAACTTCCACAGACTGTGCGCCACAATAACTACCCCCCTAAAACCCAAACCAAAACAACCCCCCCAAACAAACAAATGAGACCAAAAAGAAGAACAAATAAAAAATCAAAATAAACCTCTCCTTTAGATTGTGCGTGTCAAGTATGATGTCTCAGCACGGACGGAAGTGACTAAGATGACCTCTGGGGCCACCAGCCCACAGTGTTCTTGTACCATGCAAAGGGCTCCCTGCTCTGTGAGCGAGGACAGACAGGTACATAGGAGACTCTGGAACAATCTTGCGGCCACTTAGATGCTCTTGTGGGTTAAAAAGGCTGGCCCCCGCCACGCTCCCCCGAAGTGCCACCAAATTTACAGTTACATTTTCAAGAAAGCAATCAACAAAGAATGGGTGAAGAGATCACTGTGGCAGCGTCTTGGGGCTGGAGAGCCGATCACCTGGAGAGGGATTAGCAGACCTAAGGAGGAAGACGTTCAAGCCAGCAGCACTGAAGCCAAGAGAGCCAAATCCCTGTTACTCAGAACCCCGCCCAGCTGCAGGAGTGGCTGAGCCCTTCCTCCAGAAGGCGGGGAGGGGACTGAGAAGAGAAGGGGCCAGGAGTCCTGTTAAAAGTAGTTGGCAACCCATACTTCTGATTTCCAAGCCTATGAAAGCAACAGTAACTGGGACAGCGAGGTCCTGTCATAAGGACAGGATGCAGATGTAAACCCTTTATCTCATGATTTCTGACAAGGCTGCAGTCCACGGGGAAACAAGTGTCACACACACACACACACACACACACACACGCACGCACACACATACACACACACACTCATAAGCAGGTGGCCTCCACACTCCCACACAGACACAGGCAGACGGCCTCCAGGTTGGCCTATTTGCCTGGCCTTCCAGGCTGGAGCCAGCATCCTGGGTAGGTAGGTATTGCCTCCATTTCTTCCAGTGTGGGAACAAATAAGGTGGGCACCAAGTGGGACCATGAGCATAGTGCTTCCGGTTGTGGCTTTAGCCCCCTGGAGCCCTGTCCTCTACAGGCTGTTCCCATGGTATACAGACCTTGTCACTGTCATACATGTTTAGCAGGAGCCACGTCTGCCTTGTCTTCTGGAACCTCCAGCTCTGGTGCTTCTGGACCCATCTGGGGAAACCGAGACAGACACCTCAGGGGCAGGGGAAGGAACGAGGCTTCCTGTGCAGCTGACCTTTCGCCTGTGCTAGACGCTGAGGCCACGGAGTCTCAGAGGCTTTGTGGGATTGTCCCAGCCGAGGTGAAGCACCGTCACTGAGGACCTGCCACTTCAGCATGCTTGCTGAGGTTCCCTTCAGCCCATCTGGGGTGGCTGTGTCTATAACAGGACCTGGAGAATGGCTGGTTCACAGCTTCTTTCCAGCCCCACAATCCTGTGATTTTACAACCCCAGGGTGAACATTCTCAATCTCCTAAATTCAGTCATTCTTCAAGAAGTTCCTACTCTATGAGGCAGCAAACTCCAATAGCCCTCTTCCTGCAGGGAGCTTGGGCGGGCATCAGTGGCCAGTGGGGGCTGTTGTGCCCACAGGGGACAAAGGCAGCTTTGGACTTTGAGGTGTGCCTCACCCTGAGGGAGAAGAAAGGATGCCTGTAGCCTGGGGTGCTCCAGTTAGGGGACCGAGACATGGGTGGAGTGCACCTTGTGCTCGAGTTTCTTACAACACAGGCTGACAGGGCTGCTCCTGTCAGCCCCCCAGTGCTACACCCTGTACCCCAAACTTATGCTGCAGGTGTCAGGGCAGTAAGCACAGTTGGGAAAGGAGCTTTGGATCGCTGCTACAGGAAACACATGAGGCCAGGATGTGGGCCAGGGTCTTGGCAGTGGGATCAGTGCACTGGGAAGAGATTGCTGTGTGAATCCGGTATCCCAGAGCAATACCACGGAGGTGGACAGCAGTTTGCCTGCGGCCTAGGACTGGGGAACATGAGTGGCCAGGGGCCCAGAGCATAATTCTAGTTGCAGAAAACAGACTCAAAGTAGGGAGGCCCAGTCCTTACTGATTCGCCTGACCCATTCTTGCTGAGACCAGCAGGCTATACCAGCTATAGTTGGGGGGCTCAGGGTGGAGGAATGTGCCAGCCCTCTGCACCTGCTGGCTACACAGATCCAGTGAGAACAACTGGTCAAGCCAACTTTAACCTGCCTTGAGCCCCTGGGGACATTGCGGAACTCGCAGAGAGGTCTGGCCACCAATCTGCCCCCAAGACCGAGGCCTTACTTCAGTTTATGCTCATAGAAACAGTGCCTTTGGGTGAGGGCTGGAGTCCAGGGCAGAGCCTGCTGGATCAGCCTAGAGAAAGGAGTGGCAGGACGCAGGAGAGGGTCAGACTGGCAGCAAGGGGAGAGTAGGAGAGGAAAGAGGGTGCAGCCTCAGGAGCCCCTGCTGGTCCCAGGACATAGTGCTGGTGTGAATGGATGGTGTGCAGGCAGGGTCTGTGTGGGTTCTTCCAGGGATTCTAGGAAGCCGGTACCACCTTCAGAGCCTACCCCAGAGCGCCAGGCATCTGACGAGATCGGGCACGTTCAGGGTGGTATGGCTGTAGACAGCGCCAGGCATCTGTTGCTGCCTCCTAGCCCCTATTGCTGCCTCACCTGCCCTGTGGAAAAGAAGGGGCTTTAGAAATACTTCCCACGCCTCATGCCCAGTAAGAAGCAGAAGGCGCTGGAAAGACACACCAGTGGGCTTCTTCCCCTTCCTTTGAGCAGCCTCTGGTGGCCCCCAGTGCCCCTTAGCACCATGTCACCGAGGTTGCGTCCTTGCAACATTCCCAGGGCTGACCTCATCTGCGCCGGGGCTCACCACGTTGGTGAGGGTGGGGAGGTGGGTGCTCTCCACAGCAGTCAGCAGTACAGACATCTGTGACTGTGTGCCACCCGGCCACCCCTCAACTGCCCCTCTGACCCCTCTTGGGCTGGCACCCTGGTCACCTGTCACCTGGTCTTATCATGTTCAACCAGTAGCAAGGTCCATGGGTTTAACTGGAGACACATGGGACACAAAATGTCTTACTGTCTTCTAGAGTGCAGTTCAGCAGTGCTAAGCACATCTACATTTGTGTGGCTGCCTCTGATGTGTACTCTTCACCTGTCACCCTCCCAGCTGGGATCTGTACCCCCCTCACCACTGCCCCCACCCGCCACCATACCACCTGCGTCCTGTAGCTCCACAGAGAAGGACACGCAGGCACATGACCTGTGTCCACCTCTCCGCCAGCATCATGTCTCTCATTCTTCCATTGGAGAGTAAATCAGCACGGGGTGGACAGGAGGGGTCAGACATGGGCAGCACTTCCCCTGTGGTGGGACAGCCCTTCTCATGCAGGCAGAACCAGAACTACAGCTGTGGGGCGTGCTCAGAAAATCCAGGGAGAAGCCATGAGGGCCCAGCCAAGGTTGCCTAGATGTGTGTCCAGCTGGGTGGGCTAGGGGCATCTGGGAGTGGAGCTGTATGAAATCCTGTCAGCTCGGGCACTTGCTTGGTTGGCATTGGTCTCCAGACCCCACCCTCACCTTTATGTTTCCCTCCTCCACCTCCAGCAAGGCCGAATCTTTGGAGAAATGGCTCTTCTGAGGCCACTGTAGGCCCTATGACCACCTCCCGTTTATGGACTTTCTGGGGTCAACAGTGGTTGAGGGTGCCATGTATGAACAGGGTACTTAGGGACTCCTTGACCTTGGCCGTCTTGCATAAGTGTGCATGGCTCTTACCCACTGAGGTAGTCCAGGGCCAGCTCTGCGCCTGAGCGCTTAGCCGGTGGAGTCTGCACTGTTGAGACCCTTGCATCTCGCAGCTGCTTCTTCTCCTCCTTCTTCCGTTCCTTCTTCAACTTCCTCTCCAGGACTCTCCTCTCCTCTGAGGACAGCTGGGGGACTGTGTCCTGCACTCTGCTCGCTGCCACCCCCTGGAAGTCAAGGATAGCACTTGTCAGGCTGGGGGACTAGACTCAGGGAGGGTGTGCTGCAGGCTCCCCAGCCCTTCACCCCCATGGCAAGAGCCCATCCCTGAGGACTGGCTGGGGTTGCACAGGTAGCATCTCAGCTGTGGGATCACAGTGTTGGAGATTATCATGTGAGGATAGAGAGAGGGGCTTCAGGGAAGAGAGGCCCTGGCTTTGCTGGAGCTGACTGCATCCCTGAGTTCGCCTGCTGCGGATCCCCCTCCAGGCCTGTGCAGCACTATTCCCACTCCCCAGCCTGGCTGCAGAGTCAGGGATGGCTGTCATCCAGCCTGCCCAGCCCCTTCTTGAATGAACCTGGTGCTGTCACTGCATGGCCAGCAAAAGGTAGCATTCTTAAAGACTGTGCCTGCTGCCTGCTCCTTTCTGGCCAGTGGGGTGGGATACACTGGTGGCTGGCATGGCCTTTAACCCCAAAGGGTCCCCATGGTGACAACCTCAAAGGGAGGGAAGTGGCTGGGACAGCCTCTGGTCTCTTGCAGCACTGTCTCCCAGCCACAGCACCAGGAAGCAAGGTCCCCCCTCCCTCTGCTCCCCCATGAGCAAACAAGAGGCACGGACTCCAAGAGCGCCAAGTGGGTGTCGGGCTGCTGTGGTCGGGAGAGGGGTTGAGACCATTCCAGCAGCTGTCCACCCACTTCGTCTTTCCTGGAAAAACCAGAACACAGTGTTTACTGTGACCTAGGCCAGGAGTCTGGCGTGCTCCACCCCAGCACTTCCAGGAAGGGTGAGCACCCTATGCAGCCAGGTTCTCAGAGCCCTGGGCCAGGACAAAAACGAAGAGGCAGAAGAGGTCCCTCCTCCTGGCAGGTTCCCTCAGAATGCCCACTCCCAGGACACCTCTCCCTCTAGCTCCTCCCCTCAAAGAGGACTCTCCTGGCACCCATGCAGGACCCTTGTATGCACTGTAGGGGAGGAGGGGGCAGGGTGCCCAAAGGGGTCTCTGGATCTGAGGGACAAGGGGAGCAGCATGACAGGGGGTGACTGAGCCTCTTGGGGAGTTTGCCTCTGAGGCTACGATCCAACTGGCTCCTCTACCCAGCTCCTGTCCCACACCTTGAGGGGAGCCAGCAGGCAGGAAGAGGGTCTGGAGAGATGAGGAGGGGTGTGGAGTCCCATGAACTGACTTTTCAGCACCCCTGAGCCCAGTGCCCCAGACCTTAGGGGCCTGGGTCACAGGGGTCTGGTCACATAGGAGGGGTACTTTGATCACTCCCCAGGGACTTCCGGGCACTACAGGCCCAGCTGCCTCCAGGAAGGACATCCACATTTACCAGGGACCTGGACAGCCAGAGGCAGATGGGTATACTCCCCGTGAGGAGCCACAGGAAGAGGTGCCAGAGGGTGAGGGCAAGACTGAGACTGAGGGGCAGAAGCAGTGGGATCTGAGCCTGGCACAGCACTGGGTTGAATGCTGAGGGCCCAGGCCACCCACACAGGGGATCTGCAAGGGGACTCGGGCTTTCGCTGTTCCTCTTAGGGTTACTGGAGAGCCCAGAATGCAGAGCTACACTGCATCAGGTACACAGTGTGGAAGCTGCAGTAGCTGTGCTTTGGACCTCTTGGCAGCGGTCAGTGCCCAGGCTCAAGCCTGAAGAAGCGAAGAATACCCCAAGAAGAGCCACGCCTCAGGGCCACATGAAGAGCACAGCTAGCAGATGTGAGACTTGGTGGGGGTCACTGAATGGTAAGTCCTGCCTTTCCCAATTGAACAGGGTGCGTCTTGTGTGGGAACTATGTGAGGGCCTTATGGGCTGACAATGACCCTGAACCCTGCTTCTGCAGCCTGCCAGGGAGGTGGGCACAGCTGCTGGACCATATGTGCACTGCCTCTTTCCGGTCCTCTTCAAAGGAAAGGGATGCGGGGGGAAGCAACTGGGACATGGTCTCTCCACAGCACTCCTGCCAGTTGTGGTCCACCCAAGTCCTGTGAGGTCCCTAAAATGGGGAGGGACTGCCATTCTGAGTAAGTGGCTGTGCAGGTCACCAGGCTACAAAGGCAAATGCTTCTACCCAACGGGGCTGTCCCTGAGCCAGCAGAAAGGCCCCACTTAGGGCTGAGGGGTTCTGTGGAAGTGCTGGCATGGAGAGTGTCCACTGTGGCATCAGGACTGACTAGACCAGTGTGTCCCAGTCTCTAGATGCACGAGGTTCAACATTACAAAGGGATAGTACCCTGGGCACCAGACACAAACTGTCCTTGGGACACAGTGGCACCGGGTAGCCAGGTTGCCTTAGAACAGTGAGGTGACAGGTGAGCGACAGTGCACCATATGCACAAGGAGGGTAGTGGGCAGCGGCTACAGGCTGAGGGACACACAGCCACAGACCAGGGGCTGCTGTCCCCCAGAGGCAGGTGTTCCCACACCTCTCCAGAGACCCAGCTTTCTCTGGCTGCTGGGCTGTACACATAGGAGGGGTCTCAACTTAGTAAATGACAATGTTGATGCACCTGTTACTTTGCAGTGCACCTGCCCATGTGATCTCACTTAGAGTTTGCAAATAGCCTGCATTAACATAAAAAAAAACTATAAAAGGAATCCAAGCCCCCAGTAAAGCCTGCAAGGCCCCCATTCTGGGGGAGATCTCTTGGGGGAAAGGAGGATCTAAGAATGCTACACCAGGCCTCCTGCTTGCCCCAGGTGTGGACCCCAGGCTGCCCAAAGAGCCCTGTTAGATTCTGTGTCCACCGCACAGGCCAGGACTCTTTTCTACAAGGTGAGCAGCTCTGGGCTGAAACCAAATGAGCAAGATGAGGTGCAGCAGGGGCTGACTATGGCCTCAGTGTCAGCACTCCTCTCAGTGCTGTTAGTCTCTGGCACTCTGGGTTTGATGAAAAATAGAAGTGATATGAAAATCAAAATTTCAGCAATGCATTTTCTCTCCCATAGATAGATGTTCTTGGGATTACACTTCAAATGCACAAAACAATTTCTATGTACAAGGGACCTCAGGCCAGACACCCACCCTAGCTGATAAAGTTCAGGGGCCTTGGGACGGCAGTTGGAACCTCAGCCTCCACGCTGGGTGTCTGAATGCTACACAACACAAATGCTGTCATATACTGCACTGTGTCAGGTGATGTAGTATGTACGTGATTCAAAACACATCTCAATATAAAACCTGTATCAACTGTTAGTGCAATAAAAATACTGGCTACAAGCAGTAAGTAGACTGAAAATAAACCAGGACACCAAAGCTACAGACTGGAAAGAGCACAGTTGTTGAACCAGAGAGGACCAACGAACCTGGTGACCAATCTCCCAGAAAAGTTAGTGCTGAGAAAATAGCACACAGCATGGGCTTGTCTAGCATGTGAACCATCTCTCTCCCTCAGTCCTGGAGTTCCCGGCAAGACAGACTGCCCTAATTTCACTTGAAAAGGTTACCGTGCAAGCAACTCAGACAACCTCAGGCACGATCTCCAAGGAGCAGATCTGAACAAGAGCAGGCTGCCATTTGGGATCTGGGAGGTGCCATCTGTGTCTGTCCCACAGTGTGACAAGGACACTTGGATACTCAACGGCTGTGCCCTGATGTGGGGGAACCTGTGGGCATCAGGCGGAGTACATACAGTCACACCCACCCAGACAAGCAGGTGACAAGAACCATGGTGGCTCCTCTGTATTTTCCTCCCTCTGGTGAACATTCCATCCCACAGACAAACTTTGCATTAACATGGGGGCTGGGCCATGGCTGGACGGCCAAGTATCAATCCTCTCGTTTTTCCTTGAGGGGCAACTGTGAACCTGAGTGTGCAGAGAACAGTGGAGCAGTAGGAGGACACTGGCCAGGGCAGGTGGGCTGGGTCCCATCCAGCAGACCCCACTGCAGCCCCATCTACCCCACCCCTGCCCTGCAGGAGGGGCTGGGCCGTGCAGCAGGAACCCCTACATCTCCAGGGCTGGGGAAGTGGTGGCTCTGGTCCAAGCAGATTTGTGGGGGCATGTGTGCTGCTGAGCAGGGCTAGCCAGGTTCCTGTGAGGGACTGTGAAAGGCCCTGGAGAGATCATGATCCTGCCCACATTCTACCAACCTGGAAACAGCAATGGCTGAGGCTGAAGTCAAGGATGCTCTGGCCTTGGGCAAGTGGCTTTTTGTTTTTCTTCAGTACTAAGGATTGAGCCCAGGGGTGTGCCCACACTGAGGTACATTCTTAGCACTTTCTATTTTGAGACAGGGTCTTGCTAAATTGCCCAGGCTGGCCTTGAACTTGCAATCCTAGTACATGCGTCATCTTGCCATGCTGGATGTGGTGGCACACACGTGTAGTCCCAGGACTAGGGACGTTGAGACAGAAGGATCACTGCAAGTTCAAGGCCAGCCTGAACTACTTAGATCTTAACACCTCCACCCCCAATTCATCTTTCTATCCAAATTTACCCTCTTCCCCTTCAGTTTGAGGGAGTAAGGGTATCTAGGAATGGCAGGCTGGCTAGAACAAAGCCAGAGCTATGTGGATAAGCCCCTCCTGAGTCCTTTCAGGAAGGGCTTGAGTGGGAGGGATACATCCTATCAGGGGGTCTGAACTCACTCTGCTGGTGTCTCAGTGCCCACAAGGCCATGGCCAAGGGCACTGCTGAGCTGAGCACCCAGCAGCCTGACCCAACGGTAAGTGGAAGGAACAGTATCACTCCAGACACAGGACACCTAGCTCAGGCTCTGCCTTCCTGGCTCTTGGAGGTACCAGCTATACCCCCGAGTGGGCGAGACTCACAAATGGGCACACAGAAGTTGGTATCCCCAGAAAAGGAACAGGCATGGCAGGGGAGGGGATACTGGAGACAGATGTTAGCCTTCTGATCACCCTGATGACATGATCCACATGTGACATATGACCTCAAAGGTGAGGCCAATCCCCTGCCATGTCCACCCAGAAATCCACACCCTTTGTCTCAACATGGGAGTCCAGTAGAATGGCCAGTGCCTGTAGCTGACCTGGCCTC